AATGAAGAAAAAGGAATTATCACTTTGAAAATGGAGAGACAAGGAAGGGATTTTAGTGAGGGTAACGGGATATGGGCAGAGAGATAAAGGGAGGGGGAAGATGATATAATTCTATTTCAATTTAAAACATATTTTTAAAAACTAAATAAATGCAGAGGCATACATAATTCATGACTTAGAATACCGAACATAAAATGAATTAAAAATAAAAATTAAAATGAATTAAAGATGCCAGTCCTTCCCAAACTGATAACAAAATGAATTAAAGTTGCCAGTCCTTCCCAAACTGATCTTTAGGTTTCATGAAATTCCTATGCAGGTCCCAGTAAGTGTTTTTGTAACCATAGATAACTTTTTTTTTAGATAACTTTATTTTGAAGTTGATAGTGAAGTGCATGGGACCTTGGTTAGCTACATAATCATTGAAGAAAAAAGTGAGAGGAACTATTTTCTTTATATTAATCCCTCCAGTCCATGTACAAAAATCAAGGCTGGTAGAATAGACACATAGATCAATGATACACACCAAGAAGTCAGAAGTAGTCCTACAGGATGTTTATAATCAATGTTTGGCCAAAGTGTAAAGGCATTCAATAGAGGAAAGATATTGTTATACAAAAAAGATAGCAGAGCAGTTAAGCACCTATAGGCAAAAAAGTGAACCTCAACTTCAAATTTCATGTATGAATCAGTTTGAAATAGATACTAAACTTAAATATCAAACTTGAAACTCTTAAAAATTTCAGAACAAAAATATAGGAGAAAATGCCTGAGATCTAGAATGAGACACATTTATTAACCATTGCTACACAACATACTCCATGAAAGTAGATTTTGAGAAAATCAACAACTTTGGGGTTAGATGGGTGACTTGGTGGGCAAAGCACTCACAAAACAAACAGCAAGTGGCAAGCATGAGGACCAGAGTTCAGATTCCTGGAACCAAGCATCGTGCAGTTTGTAGCAACCCTGTGCAAGTTCAATGCTCAGAAGGTAGAGACAGGAGACTCGGCTGCAAGCTGGCCGGCTAGACTAGATGTGTGGGTGAGCTCTGGATTCAATCAAGAGACCTTCTCTCAATGAACAAGGTAGAGCATGATTAAGGAAAACTCTTCACATCAAGCTCAGAACTCCATGCACATATATTCTCAAGTACACCTCCACACATGTGAGTGCACATACATGAAAACACACATATAAGCATATATATGTATATATTATACACATATACCGCACATACACATCCTTATAAGACACCCATTTTATCTGTAAAAGCCTACGAAAAGAGAATGAAAGACAAGCTAAAGACTAGGAGAAAATATTCACAGAGATAGATATACAAATGTCAAATAAGCACATGACAGGATGATAGATATCATTAGACATTAGAGTCAGCTGTCATGATGCATAACTGTGATTCTAATGCTTTGGAAATTAAAGCAAAAAGATAATAAGTCTGAGGTTAGACTGAACAACAAATGGGGTTAAATCTTAAAGCAACAAAAAGACAAAAATATCATTAGGTATTAGGGAAATACAAATAAAACCAACATTAGATATAAGAACACATCTACTAGAATAAATAAGTAAAAACAATAGCAGCAGGAGAAACACACATAATCTGTATCTCACACACTGTGGCAATGGGCAGATTTTAAAAAAAAAGTAAAGTTGCTCTAAAAAGAATTAGGCAGTTCTTATACAATTATATGTGCAGCTGCCAAACAAACAAGAATTTCACTCGTGGCCATTTATCCTAGAGCAATTTAATGCTCTTTATACGAACATTGTAAAAAAATATTTGTAGCAAATTTTTGTAATAACACAAATTTAAAATCAGCCCTTCAATGAGTGATCACACAGATTTAACCATATTGTAGAATATTGAGCAATTGAATGTTGGTAAGTAGAATAAGTTGAATTTTCTTCTAGTAGATCATCTTAGGGAAAAATTTGCTTCCAAAATATTACATACTGTCTGATCACATGTAATATTCTTCAGTGATAAAATTGTTGACATGAAGAACAGTTTCTTTTTGCCAAAGGTAGGTGTAGGAGGGAAGACAATGGATGTGACTAAAGTAATGACAGAATCACTGTGGTGGTGGCAGCATTCTATATCTTGACTGTGGTGGTTGTGATATGAATCTGCAGATATAAAATTTCATAGAATTGCATACCAGATAAATAACTACCTTTAAAACTGTTGAAACAGGGTAAGGTAAAGGGATGTCAAAATGCCAATTTTGAGCTGTGATGATAACTATAGTAATGCATGATATTTAGTATGAGGGGAAAGTAGATGATTCAAGATTCTTCTGAATAAGTTTTTACAACTGAAAATGAATCAACAATCATATAGAAAACAATAAGTCTAAAATGAGTATGAAATTATTTGTGATCCCATTTCCATTTGCTAAATAAAGAAAATAAAGTGTGTAGATAGCATCAGCTTAAGTTGAAAAGAACTGGTAGAAAGGCTACACTTAAACCAGAGCTAAAACAAGGACCACAGCACTTATACCAATAAAGAATTGCTCAGGGAATTACGGCAGCCACATTTACTGTTGCCAAAAAATGTATAAACAATCTTGAGTGGATTCAATAGAACTAATTAAGTAGAACCAATTGACAATGATAACTTGCTTTAAGCCACTAAGTGTGGGGATATTTTATCAAGCAGTAATCTAGATACTATATCAACCAGCAAGAGTGAGTGGTTTCAGCTAGCTAGATGAGGTTTTAAACCTCGGTGAGTTCATTTATTTCAAATGCTAGGATCCATGACTGTCCTGTTTCTTGAAACCCATTTTCCTGAATACACCTGTAAACATGTTGGACGGGATGATGAGAGCTGGAGCAAACATACAAAGGAAATTGAACAATCAGTTCTAGCCCTTGAAGAACTCTGTTTAGTGATACAAAAAATCAGCATATTAAATGGCACAGAAACAGTTATAAGGCAACAAATCTCCAAGTTCAAGCTAATTTACTACAGCTAAATTGAATGCACGTGGCAATGTATGGCTACAGACATATGGCTACACAATGGAGCTAGACATTTTAAGCCCCCAAGGCAACATCTCAGAAAGGGCATCTCTCTTTTGTTAACAATGAAGTAAACATCTCCAGCAATGTCAGGCCTGGTTGAATGATATTAATGCTTAACTAGGTAGAAACAGAAGGCTTCCTTCCAGGGACAATTATTCTTGTCTCCATTTTCATTTGTTCCTTGCTCCCAATATGTGGATTTTTGTTTGTTTGCTTGCTTGCTTTTGGCTAACCACAATTTCATAGAGCATCAATTTTATTTCCATCTATAGGATGGAGATAATAAAGTGCAGTTAGTTAAGAAACAGGATAGATAAACTATAATTTCATACATGTCATTTACTAGCTGTGTGACTACATCTAGCATCGTTCCACTGCTAGTATCAGTTTCCAGTTCTGTGAATGAAGATGATCTGAATGGCACTGAAGGTCCCCAGCACCTTATAATTGAGGCCACTGATAGTTTAGATGATAAGAAAAATGTGAGTGCTTTAAATAGTAATATTGATGTAGTACATTGAATGCACACTTGAAGCCATAAAGCAGAGCACAGATGTTTAGAATATCAGTATTATTCAGTTCATGGACAAAACACCCTTCATATCTCCTCTAAATTTCGTCGCTCAAAGTACAAATGGGTACTGTCTGTCAAGAATATGCTTCAGCGAGTTTTCGAGGATTCTGACGAATCTTTATAACTGTATCACAGAAACACACATCAGTAGTAGTGTGTCTGTGAGCTCCGGAAACATTCCTCAGCGGTGCTATTGGAATTTTTGAAAATCAAGTCCTTAGACCAATATGAAGTCTTCAGGTCTGCTGAAACAGCTGTGGTGATAGATCACTTCAAGTTGTTTTTCCGCAGGGATTGAGAGTTTGATCTCTTTGTGTCAGAAGCAAGATTTCTTGAGTCCTCAGTCTCCCCCGCCTTACCTCTTATCCTCATCACCCCCTTAAAAACATCAAGCTTTTGTCACTTGACACAGTAAAGCTATGAGAAATGGCTAGAAATGATGTGTCTTAAGGCGTAACTGCTGAGGTCCGTTCAACTTGCACACAGACCTCAGGCTCAGAAACAGACCAGGTGCAGAGACCTCATGAAAGAAGGTGCGGCGCATCTAGGCAGAGGAGCCATGGATAGCCAGAGTTTAGGGTCTTCAGGACATTCATCAGGAGTGGGGAGCTCTTCAGAGCATCCAATGCAGAGGAGGAGGACGGGCTGCAGAAGATGTGCGGTCCCTTTAAGACCCCAACGCTCTACTAGCCAAAGGAGGGGTGTGTGGTGGGGGCGCTGCGTGATGGGAAAGTGCCGGCTGAGCCTCACACTTTCTCCCCGTTTTGTAACTTTCAGGTCTGGGGTGTAGGAATAAAGCCCTTTGCCCGGACCAAGAAGGAGTGCGTGCTAGCAGAGACTGGGCTGCTCGCTGGAGGACTTCCCGCCAGCGCCAGGCTGCCCGGCCAAGTGGGGAGCGGACAGGCGGGCGGGCAGGTGGCCCTGGGCCGCCGCGCCCGAGCCTTGGCTCTGCCCCCTGGAGCCAAGCAAGCCTCTGCTCCCTCGTGGTGCGAGGGCGGTGATGTTTTTCCTCCCACCCACTTCTAAGTTCCCCCTCCCCCCTCGCGCGCTCTCAAGCTCTCGCCACAACCTGCGAGCCCCAGACCTCGGAGGAGCGCCCCAGGGAACTCAGAGCGTGTGCAAGCGTGGCAGACGGAGGAGGCCAGTGCCCAGGTCAGTAAGCAGTGCCCTGCCGCCTTTCACCCCACCCCTGCCTTGCTTTCCAACCTTTTCACAGGTGGGGTGCATTCTGTTGGCTGGAACTATCCCTAGTCGTTCCCACAGGGCACCTTGAACTCTGTGACTTGCCATCCCAACCAGTTCTATGGTCTTACTGATGGAATAAAGGTAGAACCCTAGATACCCCATGAGACACACTCGGGACTGGGGATTTGAACCTGCAACTTGCTGCTCTCTGTTTGGCCCGAATTTCTCCTTGCTCTGGTACTTCTTAGACTTCCAAAGGCAGTACAGGCACTCTGTGCCAAGCTACCTACAGGGTCTATACTTTGCTTTATGACTACATGTGTGCAGGAAATAGGGTATTGCTCCTTTAGTGAAGTGCTGTGGACTGATTCACAGTAAGTTAAAGAAACAGGGTGGGTGAAGGAGAAGCTCACATCTTTTCTGGGCATCCTACACACACACACACACACACACACACACCGTTTTTGTTTGTTTGTTTGTTTGTTTTTTGTTTTTTTTTTTCTCCAGACCCAGACCTCTGGGATCAGAGTTTGAGACACTAGGCTCAGGAAACAAAATAGAATTGCTTGATATCAGGGCCTGGAAAGCCTACCTTCCAGCCCTGCCACTAACTCAACCCTGATTTCCTTCTCTCTCTCTCTGCAGCCCCCTGAGTTTGAAGGTTTAATTGTATGGAATAAAATGCAATTCTAGATTGGAAGGCGTTTTATAAGCCAAAACCCAAGGCGTTCTTAGTCATAAGCAGCGATGAAAAGAGATACCTTGGACTCACACTCTCATCTCTCTTGGGTAACCCAGCAGAAGTTAACTGAGCTTCTGTTGTTGGGTGGTAGTGTGACCAGAGGATTTCAGCAGATGGACAAGGTTGAGAGTCTCCAGTGTCTTTCTTATTGCTTGTCAGAAAGAACATTGCTACCCAAGGGGATACCCCTCAGATGATATTGACTGAAATTACAAGGTCGGTCAAGCTTCGCCCTGAGCGTTAGACACTGTCAGGTGTGAGGAGCTGCCTGACAACTATGTATTGGTTGACTTTTCTTTAGGGATGTCTCTGAGTCTGTTCTGCTCAGGAGATCTGTTTTGGGAGTGGACCCAGATGGTCTTGCAGTTACAGCTGAGCACGGAGCAATTGGTCTCTTTGCTCGAAGCAGATGACAGTGTGAACCCCCGTTTCCTAGAGGCACCTCAATAGATGCAGTTCCCTGGGTGTCTGACACATTTCTCCATCTATTGGAAAGCCCACACAATCCCCCCACCCCATCCTTGCCGCCAGGGTTGTTTGCAGGATTTTGCTTTCTTTGTTCCTTTCTTCTTGGGTCCTGGATCTTCCATCCCCACCCTAACCCGGCAGTGGTTACAACTCTAAGTAACCTGTCAAAGAACCATTGCAAGTTCAATAGCACAGAAGTCTGCGTGAAGCAGAGAGTTAACGCAGAAATAACTCCAGTTAACTGGGTCAAAGTATAATTTGAAAAATTAGGGACATTTTGGCTCTTTGCAGGAATAAGAATCCAGTGATTCCTGAGTGATGCTTATGTTTCTTGCTGTAGTCCCAACAAATGTCTCCTACAATCCCTGCTCCCAAATTGAAAGGTAAAGGAATAAAAAGAAATAGAATAAGTGAAGAGCCCTGGAGAGGGAACCCTTCTCAGTTCATATTTCTGCACAAAATACAAAGGCAAGACTTCAGGATCTTGTGAATCCTAAGTGAATATTTATAAAACGATTCCTTTTCTGATGTGCTCCATCACCTCCTGGGAGGCCACATAGATGACAGGAATGCCAAAAGAGATTAATTGCTCTCTACTCACCAACTTTCCTGTTTGCTCATAACATTAGTTGAGACCCAAAAAAAGCAAAAATTCTAAGGGCCATTTTCTTGCCAACTTGAGTTATGAAGCAATGCTACTGTTCACCAAATCGCCCAACCATTGTACAAGAAAAACAACCCCGTTGATTCTTGCATGGGGAGACTCAAAAGCCATGGTTTCAGAAGTACCTCCTGAGAGCCATATATGATTGTGATAAATTAGATTTCAACAGTTAAAACAGTTAAAAATCTTTGTCTTTTGGAGGCTTGGAGGTCCAGGAAGAACTCTGTTGAGGTGGGTGGCTGTGTAAAAGTGTTAATAAAAATGCTTTGTTTCAGAGGGATCTAGTAACCCTCAACATGATGTTCTGAATGACTGAAAGTGGATTGGAAATATACAGAACAGACGAAAGCATTAAAACTGAGGCTTCAGCAAGGCTGGGAATGTGCTCGAGGAAAATTTGAACCTTTCATAATATACTAAGAAAGCTGAGAAAGAAAGTAGACAAATAATTCTCTAGGATCAGTTTGTTCTCAGGTGTGCATGTATTCGTAATCTGCATTTTTTTTTTTTTTTACAAACTATCCCTGTGTAGCCCTACTGGCCTTGAACTTGGAGTGATCCTTGTGCCTACTGGGAATGTAAGCATGCACCACGAGGCTGGGCTGGGCCGAAACAATGGATTTTTTTAATGATCATGACAATTTCATAGCATTAAAGTAAAAGCTGTGACATCCACTTTAGAGCCCAAAGAGATTCAGTTCTCTAAAATGAACATCTACATTGGATTCTCTGAAAACACCACAGTGTTTAAGTTCCTACTTAGGATTAACCACTGATTGAATGCAATGCTTCTAGAAGATTTAAATATTTTCCAATCGCTTGTTGGAAGAATTTTGTAAACTCTAAAGTCTAAGAAACTAGTCGTGACAGGATGTGAGCAAATTTCTGTGTTTTAAGTCTTCAAAAGCTGAAGATTTCAGTCCTTCCCACCAATGCCTATTTTTAAAGAATTGTGGTTGTTTTAACAGCCTCTTGCATGGTGGGACAAATTGAATGAATCATTGTTGAAATTTGCTTATTTTCTTTTAAAATTACCCATTTTACATTTCCTTTCACAATGGACTTCATGGAAAGGAATATGTCTGCACTATTCTAAGCAATGAAACTTCTCAGATGTTGGATTGCATCTACCTTTTCCAACGTAAGCACTCATAGTGAAGATTCTTTTAGATCTCCTAGAAGATACAAGAGAAACAGTGATCAAGGAAGGACCCTTAAAGTGTTAATGATAACATTAGTCTGAAGCTAACTAAGACTAGTAAGCTTGCATTTCAGAAATCATTGCAGGCGAATGCTCGCTACTTGAACATTGTTTGCTGAAACTGCCCTTTTATAAGCTTTCGTTTCACAATTCTCTCTCTCTACCCACCAACAATAAAATGTCCTGAGAAATCGATTTTAATTTCTTTAGAAAAGATTTCAGATTTTCTTTTTCTATGACTTGCTTGTAAGGATTTAGCCTCAGTGTTGGACAGGAATATGTACTCATCTCATGTGAATTTCCTTCCATAATCTTACAAGACAGAAGAGGCAAGTCCTTTGTCTTCTGCAAACAATGCCTGCACTCCGGTACATTCTACAACATTTTTTTTTTCTAGTAAGTTAGAAACCTAAGTATCACTCATGCCATCAATTCAAAGGGATCTATTTTTATTACTTCTTTCTGCTTTCTTCTCAACAGGTTTAGTCCATCACTCCTCGGAGTCTCTGAATTGCATTTTGCAGTAGTTCAAAGAAGAAAAAAGTGGAAAATGGGAGGCTTGAAATATATAGTCTCCTTGTTTTTGTTTTTTATTTTCCTAGAAGGAAGCAAAACAGAGCAAGTAAAACGTAAGTGTCTTGCATTTAAAACATATCTCAAATTCATCACATCACTTTGAACCCGTGCTCATAATCTGTGGGGATTATAACTAGCTCAAATGTGGCCATGGTGCTATTCTAGGAGAAAAAAGTAACTGTTACTGATTTATGCACGAATTGATAAAATAATGAGAGCTTTGAATCAGGCCAACTAAACTTGAGGCTGTTTTTCTGATTATCATATAGTTTTCATCTCAAAGAACACATGACACATTTTCACTTTCCTGTTCTCAACTGTACAAATATTCCATTTTACGTAACTCTAAAAATATCTGACAGATGATCTGGATTTTTTCCCGTTTTCTAACTCTTTAGTGAAAGTTTTAGTTTATGGAAAAGAGTAAAACAAAAACAAAACAAAACAAAAAAGCAAAGAAAGGCAGGCCTTGTATATCCCTAATACTGAAAATCAATGTAAAAACTGGGTTCAAACCCAGTGATGAAATTTAGCTTCCAAGAACTGTTAGGAAATTAGAAGTCATTTATTGAAAGGAATGTCCACACAAACCCAAGGAATAGTTCTAGAAAATCAGCGATGCATATGAGCTAACACGTTAGAGGAAACAGAGGTGGCAAGAGCGCTCTCTCTCTCTCTCTCTCTCTCTGTGTGTGTGTGTGTGTGTGTGTGTGTGTGTACGTGTGTGTGTGTGTGAGAGAGAGAGAGAGAGAGAGAGGGAGGGAGGGAGGGAGGGAGGGAGGGAGAGAGAGAGAGAGAGAGAGAGAGAGGTGTAATTACCTCCCCAACACACACATACTTGCTGTCACCGACTTATCTGTTCTTATTACAAGCTCTCTGCTGCATTTGAACAATGTACACCTCAACTTCTTGTGACCACTTAGAGCCACTTCTGAGGTATATGCTAACTCTAAATTTGAGGGGGAAAATGAGCTTTGATTCCTTTTTAGAGCTACATAGAAAAAAGAAGGAAGAAGAAGGACAAAGTGGAATTGGTCCAATGGGGGCATATTCTGTTCTCCACTGAACTTATTCATGAGAAAGAACTGCAAATGTTCTTGGTAGGAGCTGTAGCAGCATCTGAATCACATCACTTAAACATTTATCTCTTCTATATGTAAAACTAAATATGGCAGGCAGAAAGCTTGTTCGCGTGGAGGGCAGAACCAAGCCTCAATTATCATTAAGAGCGTTTCTGGCCCGCAATGATTTTTACAGCCAGCACTCTTCTTCCTAGGAGAAAAAGTGCATTTGATAAGCAACTTAAACATCAGTGATCTGTAGTGCTATCTAGCACGACTGAGGCATAAATGGAAGACAATTCAGGGGCAGGCTGTGAAAGGAAACTTGAATCAGCCTCTCCCCTTGTACTTCTCATATTACTCACTTTCCCGGCCATCACAGAGTAGTCCCTATCAGCGTAATTTCCTCTTATTTAAGTGCATGTGATAGAAATGTCTGTTCCTTCTTAAATCCGTTCACAATCAGTGGGGAATAAAAATTCCTGGCCTCTTAGAAAGACACTTCCCTTATAGCCTGTGTTGCTGTTGGCCTCATGGGGGATATTGTAACTCTCAATAGACCATCTCTTCTTGGAGGTCTTCCATACTTACAAAGTATTGAGGAATATTATCCATAAAACTTGGAGCTTTGTTGACAAAGCAAAGAAAGAAGATTTATGAGCCTGAACCGATACTCTCTAATGTTTCCTTGTGTCTATTTGTTCCCAAGCCTTTTAATATTTGGTTGGTGTCACAGTAATTATGTAAAGGCACTGGTTTTGATCTAATATTTCAGATTGTAGTTAGATGGTAAGGCCACCATAGTGGTTATTCTTTACTGTCATTTCACCTGGCTGGACCCAAATCAAAATACGCGAAGATTACTAAAAGAGGAAATCTTGTAGTGTATGCTTCATGTATGATTCACACATGTGAGTGTTCATGCACAGACATTTATATTGATACTCTAACAACAAGTTAGGAACAGTGGAAATAACAATTAAATGGAAAATGTTCCATAAATGATCCAATTACTGTATTACAAATTCATCTCTGTGAAAAATTGGTAGCCCTATAATTTTTTTTCTTAAATTATACCTCAGAAAGATAAGTATGCTATCCATCCAGGTCATGTCAAAACATTTCTTAACAACAATGTCTTATCTTTTTAATGCCTAGATGTCAAAACATTTCTTAACAACGTCTTATCTTTTTAATGCCTACGTCATTTTCAACTGCAATTATGTTCCATTGTTTAACTAACCAGCCTCCTACTTGTGGTGTATATGTTGCTTTTAGTTTTTGACATTACAAATTAAGGGTATTAGTGAAACCCTTCAGATGCTAATGGATGTAATTGTGAAGAATTTTTAGTTAAAGGGTATTTTCAGTTTTATCTGGATAACTGCTGTCAAATTGCTCTTCATTAAGTTGCTGCTACCTATGGGTGAATGTTCATTATAATTCTTTTACCAAAGTGTTATTAATCTTTATATTGGAGGATCATCTCAATTCTATTTCATTTTGCCTTGATATTTTCCTATTCCTATGTGATCTTTTCAATAACATTTTGGATTAATTAAACTTCTTAATTACGTGTTTCTTTTGAGCTTATTTATGTCTAAAATAATATTTTGTCATTTCAAATAGTGCTTGTGCAAGTTGTATTTGTATATGAATTTTAAAATTCTGCATCGTCAGAGCTGTATTCCTTTCCTCTGTGGCTACTGAATTTCCTGGAAGATCTCTCCCACCATATATTATTGCATTTTCTTTTGGAGTTTATCCATATTTCTCCATTCCATGTGAAATTTAGACTCATTTATGGGATGCAATAGAGAATTACTTTTTAAGCCTCTGGATGGTAGATCTGTAAGAACTGTTTATGATCATTTTATATTAACTATTCCAGAATTTCTACGAGTGGAAATTACTGTATTTTTAAAGGGGAAAAAGTTCTTCAAGGTAAAGAGACATATTTTACATTTTACTGTCTAGTACAGAAAGGAAGGCATAAGAGTACATGAAAAGGGCGATTATTTTTAAATTTTATAGAGCGGAGAAAATGTCCAAATATAGAAGTGTTAAGCTTTTCATCTGCTCATACTGTCTGTCTTTTTACTCGAGGAAGCCTCAGTTTTTGATTTTTCAGGTGCTGGTTAGAATAGAATCTTTTAAGTTCAGGAGCTTGTTTGCTCTCCTTTCTGGAACAGCCAGGGTGGGATGCATGTGAGGTACCCTGATGGTCCGAGATCTTCCTGCAATTGCTGTGGCAACACAAAGGATTTTAGGAAAAAATGCTTTGTATGCAGAAAACACTTCTCACAAGGCGTGCTGAAGGCTTGTGTTGCCACTTGCTGCTAGCTAATTAGCCAAAGTTATCGTCGCTTTCACAAGCAGGAAGACAGGCTAAGGACACCAGAAAATACTGATAGTGCACTGGAATGGCTAAATGAGCCATTTGTTGCTTATGCAAAAGTTTGCTACTGTCCAGCATCAGCAAAGTTTGAGGTCTTTAGCCAGGAACAGATCTTTGTATAACTCCATTATGCTCTGTTGTTAAAGTTGTAGTCAATGAGGCCAGAAAGCTCTTTTGAAGTTCAAAGGAGCGTAACATTCACAGCATAATATTCATGCAAATATGGGACAAATGGGCTGACAAGTTTGCCCCCTTTGGCAGCTCTAACTAAGGTAATGAAGTATTGATCAAAGTGAACTTGAAGAACTGAGTTGTGAAGAATATTTTATTATATGTTTCTAATGAAGCAGACTAGTCTGGCAGAATCTCTGGAGACAAGAATGTGGCACATGGATCCATTCCTGCCCTGTAAAAGTAAACTGGATCTCTGAGAGACTAGATTCTCACTCATTTCTCTCCTCCAAACTAAAGCCTACAAACATTTATGCTTGGATTAAGTAAAATGGGACTTTAGAATTCTCAGGAAAGGAAAAGCAAGCCACCAGCATAGAAAGAGAAGGAAGAGGATTAGCAAGTTGGACACAGGCAATTTGTGGCCTTGCAGGCATCTGCTGTATCTCTGGTGAAAGCCAGAAATAGAAGCACAAGTTTTCTAGGATCGCCCCAGCATTTCACGTGATTATTAGCAATTAAGAAGAAGCAATAAAGGGAGTGATACCTATCAAAGTTTGTGTAGATGAAAGAGGAAGAAGAAAGGGGACCATAAAATCAGGTACGTTTTATCAGGCATGGTACATGTGCCTGTAATTTCTGCACTAGAAAGACTGAGTTTAAGTGAGTTACAGCCAGCCTGGGCTGATATAGTGAGCACTTTCTTCTTTTAATTTTATTTTAAAATTTATTTATTTTACATGCCAGCCACAGTTTCTGCTCCCTCCTCTCCTCTCATTCCATTCCCCCACCTCCTTTTTACCCCACCCCATCCATTGGTCAGAAAGGATAAGGCCTCCCCTGGGAAGTCAACAAAGCCTGGGTATCAAGTTGAAGCAGGATCAAGCTCCTCCCCCTGCATTAAGACTGAGCATGGCATCCCACCATAGGGAGTGGGTTCCAAAAAACTAGCTCATGTGCCAGGGACAGGTCTTGGTCCCACTTACACAGGCCCCACAAACACACCAAGCCACACAACTGTCACCCGCATGCAAAGAGCCTGTCAGTCAGGTACCCTCTCTGCTATTGCTAGGAGTCTTAGTTGGGGGTCATCCTTGTGAATTCCTCGGAGTTCCACTGGCACCATGTTTCTCCCTAAACCCCTCATGATCCCCTCTATCAAGATATCTCTTTCATTGTTCTCCCTCTCCATACCACCCCCAACCCTTCCAACCTGAGCCCTCATGTTCCCATCCCCCATGCACTGCTCTTTACCCCACCCCAACTCTCAGCTTATTCAGGAGATAGGAGCCTTGTCTTAATCCCCAGACAGCTTAATGTTTTTTAAAGTAAATTTTGGATTTTTTTTATGATATGGGAGCATGGTGACTTTGAGATTAGCCTAGACTCAACCTGTTGATTTACAGCTATCTTCTTGGGGAAT